TTATTTTCTTCAGTATTTTTTTGGGTCTCCTTTAGCAGGCTGTTGACTTGTTTTTCATGATTTTCTTGCATCACTCTCATTTCTCTTCCCAGTTTTTCCTCTACTTCTCTTACTTCTCAAAATCCCTTTTTAGCTCTTCCATGGCCTGGGACTGATTCATATTTTTCTTGGAGACTTTGGATGTAGGAGCTTTGACTTTGTTGTCTTCTTCTGGTCATATGTTTTGATCTTCTTTGTCACCGTAAAAGGATTCTGTGCTCTGAGTTTTTTTCCACTGCCTGCTCGTGTTCCCAGCCAAATACTTGAGTTTTAAACTCTTTGTTAAGGTAGGGATCTGCTTCCATTGTGGAGAATGTACTGTCCCAAGCTTTAGGGGTTTTGTGCCGCTGTTTTCCGAGATACTTCTAGGGACCGGTAAATTTTTAGTTCTTCTAAGGTGTTGTGATCAAGGGCGAGGTGTTTATTCCTTTCCTGGCCTGTGCTCTGGTCTGTGAGTGACCACAAGCACTCTTTTCTGCCTTGAAACTATGAGGAGATTTCCTCTACACCAGCACTACAAGGTCCATCACGCCAGCACTACTCCTCACCCCAGGAACGCCACCCAGTACTGCAACCCAGATTCAAGGAAGGGTAAAGCAAGAGAATCCTACATCAATGCCAGCAAAGAGATCCCTGTAATCTCCCTCTGATCAGCCACTCCATTCCCCCTCCATCTGTGGGCCGAGAGCTCCGGAAGCAGCGGCACCCCGGAGCTGCACCAGGACTGGGACCGGACTGAGCTCCTCTTTCACCCAGGTCCAACAGACCTTTCCTACTGACCTTCCAAGTTGTCTTTGGCATTTGTGGGCTGAGAAGTCTGGGAACCGCCACAGCTGCCCGTGATTCAGTTCCCTGATGCCGCTCCAGGTTCACTGAGGCCTGGTCTGTGCCTGTGTGCCCACACTGACTTGTGCTCCTCTCCCAGCCCGGCACAGTAGACTATCCAACCAACCGTCCAGGTTGTCTTGGGCTGTGAAGTTGTTTCACTTTGTCTTTTTGTGGCTTCTGCTGCTCTAGAATTTGTTTAGAGCCGTTTTTTACAGGAATTTGGAGGGGCTTGGGGGAGAGCTCAAGCAAGTCACTGCATTTGCTCCACCATCTTGGCTCCATGACCTGCCCAGGCCTACCAGTAGACCTCAGAAGTGGAGCCATCAGGGTAAAGTACCTGGGAGCTGTGTCCTTGGCCAAGCTAGATCAGCTGGATCTCTGAATGCCCTCCCATGGCTGCCCCTGGTGTCCAGTCACACAGCCGCCACCAGGCCTTCAGCGCCTCTCCCCTGAATGGGCACAGTAGCTTTCTGTTGTTCTCTCTGTGGACAAGGGGACCGCGCTCATTGCCCAGTCCAGCCTCCTTTGTATCGTTGAGGAGTCTGAGACACGGGGCCGCAGTGCCCTGTGCAGCTGATGCCTGTAGTAAGAGGGATTTTAACCCAGATGTTCTGACACAAGCAGTGTGTCCTAACCATTTTGCCAGATGTTAGTGACATAGCTATGAAATGCCGCTGGTCCAAGCAACTCCACCTTGGTGTACCTGGGCTCTCTTAAGGCATCTGCGCAGAAATCTCAAGATCAGATTTCGGTGTTCCCTGGAATTCCTCTTCCTGCCTTAGATGGCCGGGAGGACTGGAAAGGAGATCAGTTGAGGGGAATCACAGCCTATTTCACCCTCTCCGTCCATGAACACCCACCCTCGGGAGGGGGACTCCTTTGAGCCGTAAACTTTTTATTGTAATTTGCATTTATAATTTCCAAGGCTGTCGTTAACAGACAGTGAAGCAAGCTCAAAGGGTCATAGACTTAGCTCTGCAAAAGATGCTGAAGGTTACAGGCCTTGCCAAGGCTCTTGTTCAGTCATTTCAGTCATGTCCAACTCTCCGTGACCCCATGTGGGGTTTTCTTGGCAAAGATAGTGAAGTGGTTTACCATGTCCTCCTCCTGCTCATTCTACAGATGAGGAACTAGGGCAAAAGAGATGAAATGACTTTCACAGGGTCACCCAGCTAGGAAGTGTCTGAGGCTGGATTTGAACTTGGGTCTTTCAGACTCCAGGCCTGGCACTCAATCCACTGAGGCACCTAGCTGCCCTGCCTTGCCAAGGTTCTCAAAGCTGATAGATATCACAGATGGGACTTGAACTCGGGACTTTCTGATGCCAAATTCTACCTCCCTCTCTGCTTCACATAGCTTACCAGAGGCAGTGCTTCCAAGTGCAGCCTGAGCCAGGTTAAAATGTAATTGAGAAATATTTAACAAGATAAATAAAGATGCAACAAAACCTGGATAATGTTACATTTTAAAATTAGGTCACCATTCCCCCAGTGGGCTCCTTCTGTGTGGATGGATCTTTAATGCAGATTCATGGCCCATGTTTCGGTTAGCCTTTCACACCCCTGCACTTGACCAGGTGTTCTCCATAATGAAAATGCTGCTTTTGCCATAAGTGCTGTGTGAGAAGTCCAAAAACACATGGCCTCTAGGAGGTTATTTACCTCTCTTTGAAAACCTTTTCAAGCAAAAAAAAAATTGATTATAAAATTACGAGGATGACTAAAATCATGCCATCTCTGGCATGATTTGTGGGGGCAGAGACAAAGGGAGCAGACAGAGTCTCCTGTATCTTTCACCTTGCACCAGTAAAACTCTCCATATCGGCCTTAGGCCAGCCAAAGTGCTGGGGGAAGTCTTTGGATCCTTCGTGGGGTCACAGGATCTTGAGGTGCCCATGGCCCGAGAGGTCCCCTCCTCCACCCCTTGAATTTGATAGGTGGTCAAGCCAAGACCAAGCTCCAGGCCAGGGCCTCTGCCTTCACTTCAGTGCTCACTCCCTCCTGCCCCCGAGGTCTGAGAGCCAGCCGCCTGGCCCTGCCACTTCCTCTGATTGTGACAGATTACCAACATTCTACGAAGGAACACCAAAGATCTGACCATTTAGATGGGGGGGGTCAGTCACGGTGACCCCTGAGAGTTGTGGGCTGTTGTTATGAGCCCTGCAAAGTGTCAGATAGCATTTGGGGGGGATGGATGGGAGGCCAGGGCAAGAAACAAAGAAACACCTGGGGTGGGAAGGGGTGTGTGTGTGTGTGTGTGTGGTGTGTGTGCGCGCGCATGCGTACACATAAATGTCCACCGCAAAGGTGTGAGCAGCGTGCCAAGGAGGCCCTTAAGGAGGGAGTGCCCGGGAAAGGCTGTGAGGTGTGAGGGGGCTGCCCTGGCTGATCTCTGAGGTTTCTTTTGGCCCCGTTCCTGCACCCTTCTTTATTTCATGGCAGCTGCCTGAATGCTGTTGGGCAGGTCCTTGATGTTCTCGCCTTCTCCAGCCTGTCCTGAGCTGTCCTCTTCTCCCTTGAAGGGTCAAGACTGGCCTAGCCATTACTCTGCTCCCCAGCCCCTTCCTGGAGACTCTGTTGGCCCTTTTGTATCGAGTTGTGATAAGAACACACTTCCCCAACTCTGATGCTTTTGACCGAGTGGCTGCAGGACCAAGTGCAAGCCTAGAAACCCAGAACATCTGACAGAAATAAGGGGAGGACAATGGGGTGCCAGCAGACGGGGCATCGGGTTGTGCCCAGCATCACCATAGGGCTGCCCAGACATGGCCTCTACTGCTGCAAACGCAACTTTGAAGATTTATTGACCCTGACATGCAGTAACAAGGTCCTGGATTTATCTCCAGACACATTTATCCTGAGTTTCCATTTGCCCCCTGTCAGAGCTAACAGGTGACATCTGAGGAGATAGGTTAGCAGGAGAAGAAATGTCAGAGAACCAGAATCTGATTCCACTTGCAGATGGAGACATTTGGGGAGCTCATTTATCCAGAACGTGTCCTGACCAGAGGTGAGGGTTAGATTTCAGTGTTATCCTCACAGCCAAAAGAGTCGTTTTTAATTTCCTCATTTCTAAAAGATGCTGCCACCTGGTGGACTCAAGAAATCTACTGTCCAATTTATCTCCTGAAAAGTATAAGCAAACCAGCCAGATCAATTTATGTTAGATTTAGAACACTTTATAATGGTATTGAGCACCTAAGATATTATCACGAATGCTCAGATAAAAGCCACTTCCCAGCAATCTGCTCATCTCTGCCACATGATAAAGAAATGGAAAGAAAGTAAATTCATCCTCTGTACCCCGGTTACTCTGACCAAAATAGAAAACGAACAGCTTTCCGTAAATGACTGGCATAGTTGATGTCTGGAAAGAGAGTTGTAGCAACTTGTCATAAAATGCCATTCCAAGTGTCTGCCAGGGTGACCATGACAAGTCCTCTTCTGTGCCCAGGTCTTCTCTTGTAGCAGAACCCCTCGTGGACACACAGTGAGGGCAGCAGTCTCCAGCCTGTGTCAGGCTCCTAAGCAGGAGAGGGAGAGAAGGAAAACCTTGAGGAAGCCAAGAAGAGGGTGAGGAAAGAAGACGTGAACATGAGCTCTTTCTAAGGATTGTAGCTCGTGGGGAAAATGGCCCCAGGACAGCTAGCAGTGCAGAGAAAGCAGGCCCAGAGCCTCCCCCCAGCAGAAAAACTCCTTTTAAAAAAGCACATCATGAAGTGGAACTTTGTAGATTCATGAAGATTTTGCCCATCTTTAAAACCTAGGAGTGGACAAGATGGTTAAGATACAGGTGTTCTTCCTGGGGTCAGTCATAGTAAAATTTCCTACAGAAGGTTTCTGGGATAACTACCCATGAACAAAAGACTTGGGAAAACATGTTTCCATCTACTCTTTTCTCCAGATGCTGGCTCCTAGAGGCTCTGGCTCAGGAGAAGGGCTACTCATTGGGTTGTTCGTAGAAGGGTTGCAGGCTGTGTCTTGGGAGGAGAGTATCCACACCAGGAAAACTGCACAGAAATCTTTCGATGCTGAAATATGTTGCACAAGTTCACCCTTGATAGCCCTGTCCGTGTGTTGGTAAGACTGCTCCAGACCCTGACTAAGCAGTGTGTGTTTTTCTGTCTCTTTCAGCTTGCTGAGAGAACATTCAATCGACGGCACTGGATGGGCTCCCACAAGAACACTAAAGGTACGGAGCCTCTGTTGTTTCCTGTGTTACAGTGAAGAGTCAGGGGCAGCCCCATGTGCTAGTGGCTGCCCACAGCCTCCCTCCACCTCACTTTACACCAGGGTCTCCTCCCCGCCCCTAACTGTAGTCCTAGAGCCGGAAGGATCCTTGGAGTCTGTTCCTCTGGTGAAGAAGAGTCGCATGGCCTGTCTGGGAGGCACAGCTGGCAGTAGACTGCCAGGCCTATACCCCTCAGGGAAGTCCCAGGCTGCCCTCTCTGTCTTTGGTACCTCACGAGTTCTGCTGGGCATCTTGTTTCCCGGTTAGAGATAAGCTTCTGGAGGGCAGGGGCCATTTTTACCTTCCTAGGTGCTGGTGGCTGATTGACAGCAGCTCTTCACTGGATGCTGCTGGTCTTTAGCCTTCCCCAATTCTCCACCTGAGGTGGTCTCTTCCTCCTCTGGACCTGCCCTATGAACTTCTGTACACTGTTTTATACTGTATTCCCACCCAGCCTCCCCTACCAGACTGTCCCCTCCAGGGGGACAGGCACTCTGCCTTGCCTAGCACTTCTCCAAGAACCTGGCACAGCACCTTTTATTTACCCAGAGTGAACTCCCTGCGCCCAGGGGAATGAGGGATGGCCCGAGGTCGGTCTGTGTCGGGCAGGCTTTGACAGCCAAACTCAGTCCTACACCCACTGCTCCAAACTGCCTTTTGCCTTGTACTGAGTAGGTGTTTAATAGATGCCCATTGAATTGGTTTCTAGCTGGGAAAAAGGTTGGAAACCTGAAGGGGATGAGTCACTCAGCTTTTATTAGGGGCCTGTTGTGTGGGAAGAGCACACAGGAAACCAAGGTCTGGGTGCCTGCCCTGGGCTCTGTAGATCATGGCGGGATTGACTGAACAGGCACAGGGGAAATCACATGTCTGCAGGTGTGTGCCATCTCTGAGCCCTGCTTCCTCTCCAGTTAGGGCAGGCACTCCCCTTGAAAGCAGCTGAGAAATTGTAGCAGCCGGGCCACTCCACAAGTGACTTCTAAAAGGGATAGATGCAGGACTCATGGTTGGTGAGGGAGCTCCCAGATCATAGCCCAGCTGGGCTTCAGGAGGTAGTTCCTAGGGGGTTACCTATAGCCCAGAGAGATTAAGTCGCTTTCCCAAGGTGACACACAGCAGCAGAAGTAGGATTCGAACCCAGGTTTTCCTGACTCCAAACCCAACACTGTCCACTGTACCATACTGCCTCTGAGTGAATCCAAAAGATTTCAGTGGCAAGTTTACCTAGCTTCATTCCCTGGAGAGTTTAATGTGCGTTTATTCTCTCTTTATTTAGATAGTTTTAGTAAGAAACATTTGGATGGCTTGATGTGTCCATCACATGTCCATGCTCCGTGAACATGGAACAGATGATACGTGATTCTAGCTGGAAGGCAGCTGGATGGTGCAGTAGATCAAACACTGGGCCTGGAGTTCAAATCTAGCCTCAGACACTAATCATGTGATCCTGGGCAAGTTACCTCACCTGTGTTTACCTTAGTTTCCTAATGAAGATAATAATAACACCCACCTGCCAGGGTTGTCTTAAGGATCAAATGAAATAATATTTGGAAAGTACCTCTCCTAGTACCTGGCACGTAGTCGGCACCATACGAGTGCTGGTTGTTATCTTTATTGTTGTTGTTATAATTATCACCATGTGGTTCTGGGACCAGAAAAAAAGGGCCCCTTCATTTCTAAAGATCAGCTAGTAGGATCGATGTGTATGCCGAGTAGAAAACCTTTCATGTTTTGGGCCGCTTTTCTTCTAATCGTTTCAACTTAGAGTTTCCCAGGCAGGGCTGCACTTAACATATACTCATTGTGAGTGATGCCAGCATGTCTAAAATAGAGAGAAAAACGCGCCCCCGGATCCACCTTTAGCAGCTGCTTAGAACAAGTACGGCTTCCCATTGTTGAGTTGCCATTTTTAATTTCGAGGTTATGACAAAGTGGCTTTTTACTGTTGTAGTAGGGTTGTAGACTGCAGGAAACCACACATTGGGAAGCTCCTTATTCAGAATTCCTTTTAAAAAGGAAAACTCGTGAGCCTAGCAAACAAGTGACCTCTTTGAGGTCTCTGCTAGTGCTGTTCTCTGGGTTTTTCCTATTTCTCAGTAGCGTAAAATACTAATTCATCTCTAGTTGTTGTGAAAAGAACATAATAAAAAGCAAATTAAGGAAAAATCTCTAGGGAAATGGCCCCCAAATTAATGTATTGAGCAGCGACCCAGCTCTGATGTGTTTGCATCATCACTTGTTTACTGATTGGTCCTTCCATGTTCTTTAGTCCTTTCGTTTTGAGTTCAAATTGGACTGTACACCATGCACGGTTCACCAGCTCTTAAAACGAAGGCCAGATGTGCTCTAGCTAAAGCCCCTCATTTCATGGAGGAGAAAACTGAAGGCCAGAGAAGCTGTGCCATGGAGCTGGGCTTCAAGCCCAGGTTATCGGGCCACAAACATGGTGCTTTTTCTAGCACAATCGTAAGTCCATTGTCTGTGTCAGATTTTCTACACGTTCCTGGTGTGCTTCCTTCCTGGGGTGCAAAGGCAGCTTACATTCTTTCGGTGAAAAATCTTTGCCTCCAGCTTAGAATGGATGAAGCATATAAATAAAGCCATTGAGGCCTGCCCCGGGGGCTGAGAGGGCTTTCCCTTCCCCCGGCCTGTAGAAGGTGCCAAAGAGCAAGGCAGACGAGAGCTCTTTCCATCAACTCCTTGAAGCAGCAGCAAGCTCTTGTCCTCAGATCAGTTCTCCAGCATTCGAGGTAGAGCTGGCCTGTCTGCAGGCCGCGGGGTTCAGCGCGAGGCGGTGCTAACACCACGGCTTTTATCACCCTCTGTCTGCTTCTCTTGTCTCCAGGCAGGGCCTCCAGGTGGGTAGTGACGCATAGCTAACAGAAACTCCAAATGTGCATTTCTCTCATACACAGCACGAATGGTTAGCCAAACTGTTCTTTGTGAGCTTCCTGCTCTAAACTTCAAAATGCTAATGACAGCCAGGTGCAGATAGAGCTTCCTGCAGCAGCTTTCCCCGTTGGTCTGAAGGCTTGTCTCCGAGGGGCCTCTCTCACTGTGTGCTCAAAGCGCCTTTATCTGAGCAGCTGCTTTCTCTCTCAAGTCCTCTCAGAAGTGTCTGTTCCTCACACAAATGCCTTTCTTCTTCCCGTCTTGATAAATAAAATAAATACCTGCTTGAGAAAGAAATACCGTCTTTCACAGGTTGCTACTGTGTTTCTCCAAGCAGTCCCCCAACTAAAAATGTACTTTGTGCAAACCCCTCTGATGGAGCAGTTAGTGCCACCTTAGAGATCTAAAGGGCACTAAAAATAACGCCTCTGTCACTCTTTTCTCATAGCTGCTTGTGTTAAGAAAGCTCATTCCACAAACCAAAATAGGTTCCTGTGATGTCTGGGTTGCAAAGATTGTACAACTCAAAACCTGGCCTCTCATCTGGAAGACCAAAAGGTCCAGAATATCAAGGGAACTGATGAAAAGAAATGCAGGAGAAGGTGGCCTAGCCATTCCAGATCTTAAATTGTATCATAAAGCAGCAATCATCAAAACTACTAGATACTGGCTGAGAAATAGAGTGGTGGATCAGTGGGATAGGTTAGGTACACAAGACACAGTAGTCAATGACTATAGTAATATGCTGTTTGACAAACCCCAAGACTCCAGCTTCTGGGATAAAAACACTATTTGACAAAAACTGCTGGGAAAACTGGAAAAGAGTGGCAGAAACTAGGCAGAGACCAACATCTTACACTGTATACCAAGATAAAGTCAAAATGGGTACATGATTTAAATAAAATGCTACTACTCTAAGCAAACTAGGAGAGAAAAAATAGTTTACTTGTCAGATTTGTGGAGAGTTTATGACCAAACAAGAGATAGAGAACATCATGGAATACAAAATGGATAATTTTGATTACATTAAATTGAAAAGTTTTTTGCACAAAGCCAATGCGACCAAGATTAGAAGGGAAGCAGAAAGCTGGGCAACACCTTTTACAACCAGAATAAGAAATCAAAATAAGAAATCAAGCCCTAGTTCATCATGTCTGCTAATTTCTGAACTGGAAATGCTCACGCTGAAAATTGAGTGGTCAGCTCTTGGTCGCCAGTCCACAAGTTGGGTTGGTCAAGGAGAAGGAGAACTGTGCAAAGGCCACTTCGTTGACTGTTAGAAAGTCATTGGTAACCTGGGAGAGACCAGTTTCTGTGGAGCAATGGGAACAGAGGCCGTGGCAGACGTGGGTGAGGACAGATGCACGTTACTGCCCGTATTCTCTCTAGGTGGTGAGCAGGTGGACAGGTAGCGATGAAATGGAGGAAGAGAGAAAGGGAAGAAGCAGATTGCTCGAGCTCCTTGGAGCCCAATCCAGTCTGGCCATAGCCTGAGTCCACTGGCTTCTTGTTATTCAGCCCCTTGTCGTGGTATAGATGGGATTCTTGCGTAGGGACAGGACAGGCTGGACCGTGGCTGAGGTCCCTTCCAACTCTGGGTTCTGTGATTCTGTGAATGTAGGTATGTTTGCCCCCAGACAGAACCTGGGCAGTTTTGTGTGGCAGCTGGTAAGCCCAGCAATCTTTAGGTTGCTCCCCACATCTCAGCTGTAGAAATACTCCTGCAGCTCCCCACATCACAGAGTCAGTTCACCAGCTTGCCCAAAGCATAGATGGAATTGATATAAAATTACCCTTGTCTGAATGGGGGATTTCCCTTTTCTTTTCTGGTCCCTCCTGTTTCCCAAGGCATGAACTAATGCATATTGCTTCTTTAATACTCTTCATAAATATGATGGATTCTGGAAAAATATTATTTCTTGGTTTTATAAAAAGCAGTATTTCGACCAATACAAAATAATTGCAAGAAACATAAATGTATAGCCTTCCTCTGCCCCTGAGTGACAGTCTTCATTCTTTTTTCTTAAATAATTTTAAAAGTATTTGCAAGGAACTATATCAAGCTGTTT